ATGGTTGCTCAACGATTCCTTTGCTTCTAGGCTATGTCTGGCCCAAGATTTCCTTGTTGCTAGGTTATGGTTTGTCATACATTTCATTGTTGCTAGGTTACGGTTGGCCAACGATTCTCTTGCTCCTAGGCTATGGTTGACCTAAGATTCCCTTTATGCTAGGTTATGGTTTGCCATAGATTCCCTTGTTGCTAGGCTACAGTTGGCCAAAGATTCCCTTTCTGCTATGCTATGGTTGGCCAAAGATTCCATTGTTGCTAGGTTACGGTTGGCCAACGATTCCCTTGCTCCTTGGCTATGGTTGACCTAAGATTCCCTTGTTGCTAGGTTATGGTTTGCCATAGATTCCCTTGTTGCTAGGCTATGGTTGACCTAAGATTCCATTGTTGCTAGGTTATGGTTTGCCATACATTCCCTTGTTGCTAGGCTACAATTGGCCAAAGATTCCCTTGCTGCTAGGTTTCGTTTTGCCAAAGATTCTCTTGCTGCTAGGTTACCGTTTGTCAAAGATTCCCTTGTTGCTAGGCTACAGTTTGCTGTATCCGGTGGACATTCAAGTGATGCATTTCTTCCTAAAATTATGCGGCATGATGATTGTCTGAGTAAAGGCAATCTGATTAAAATCTGATGTAGTGTACGAGCTTGAATTATTTTGGCTTGTACTAAAATCGTCGATAGTGGGTCTCGTTGAAATCGCGTTACATAGGCGTCGGATCAGATGTAGGTAAAATTAAAAAAAATCACAAAATCAAAGTAAAATAAAAAGGCATTAATAACAAAAGTAATACAAAATAAAATTAAAATAAGTTTATAGCCAAAATAATTAAAGCCTGTACACTACATGAGATTTTAATCAGATTGAAGTAAAGGTAGCTGGCTACCATTGAAACAGATGACCAGATTTTACAAATATATTTTATGCTGTTCCAATAATAATTTTTTTGTACACTGTAACTGCACTGAAAAGTTGTTTTCAGATCAATAATTATGTCATAATTTTGAAATAAATTTGTTGCCCCTATTTATCGAGTGTATTTGAATTTAGCCATGTACAGTTGAGATTTAGTAAACAAAGTATAGAGTGCAGTGTTGAATAATTTACTGTGACTGCAAGAGAGAAAGGCACTGATTTTCTAATGATATGGATATATTGCTCACAATGTAACCATTGCCTCCTTTGTGTAATGGAGCTATTTTGACAGCAATGTAGTGTCAAATACTGCATATTGTCATTCAATTTTTTCTTGAGATCATAGTAATCATTTTCATCAAATTTAACATTATTGCAGTCAAAAACAAAGATATGTTTTTCTGGCATTTTGTTGTCTAAAATCAACACACGCAGATGGCTATTATTTTTATTCCAGACTTTCATTGTGATTTTCCATTTATTCTAAAATTCTGACAAAAAAAAAACACATGTGACATGTACATTTTAACTGAATTGCAAAAAATTTTTTTGTGTGCTTCACAGTTACGAGATACTGAAATATACAGTTGTGACTGCATTTAAATAATTTGATAATTTTCTAATATTTTCATCGGTACTTGTAAATACCAGCTTGTTATTAAAATATGGTAATTCTTACTGGTATGTGTGTCATTTTTTAATGATTCTTTGACACTATTTCAAAGTCTGTTGAGAGAGCGCCCTCAGTGCTAGAGTGAAACGTGAATCTTCAAAAGTTGTGATTTTTTTTTTCAGTTTGATAAATTGACAGTTGTCATAGTTTGCATTTGAATATCATGTAAACAGTGCATTTTATATGTGTTGTATATATTGCACGCGATCAATATCGAACACTGCGCTTTGATTTAATGCATTCTAAGGTATATTAAAATGTCCCAATTTGTGTAGAAATTGGCCAATCTTTCAACGAGTTCTCAAGAACCACTGAACAAATTACAAAGAAACTTGGTACACTATGAGGTCTTGTATATTCATATTTTTTGATTGAAATCCATACATGTACTTATTCCCCTAATTTGCCTAATTTTCAGCTCTTACACTGATATTAAATGAATTTATTTTTTAATATATCCAGTTTTTTAGTATTATCAATGTCAATACTTTATACCTGATTGCTCTTACATTGTGTGCTTTAAAAAGCAGAGCTATATTCATTTATTCAACCAACCATCCAGTCTTTCATGCCTCCTCAACACACAAAGTTGTTTATTGGCTTCCAAATGGTTTTATACTTGGAGGGGGTCACCTCATGGAGCATGTGAAACATGAGCTGAACAATTATCAAATATTTTAACTTTATGAATGCTTCTGATTAATATTATTTGAACTGCAAATACATTTTATCCAACAATCATCCCTGCCTCACATCAGTGTGTTCTCTAAGCTTTATTTGTGCATTACTTGCTCATATGATTTGAGAAACTTGTTCCTTAAAGTTGTAGTATCTGCTCTTAATCTTTTCACCACCAGTTCCCTCTTTTCATCACAAATTCACAAAATAGTTTCATTTATAGTCTATACTTTCCTTCAGAAGTTAATAATATCCATTGTTTTTAGTAAAAACTGAAAATTTACTCAAACTTTGTCCGTTAGCTTCAAAATTAGGGTTCATTTCCAGAAATATTCAAGAATTTAAGAAAAAAAGTGCAGAAAATTTGGTTAAAAAATTCTGCTGGTGAAAAGGTTAAGATAATTGTAGTAAAATCAGCCATCAACCAAAACTATTAGATGCTGTGGCGTATATTAAAATGCTACAATGCAACAAAGGTGATGCGCTTTCTATTAGAGCATCTACACATATGAACAATTATTTTTTGTTTGTTCTCAATTGTTCAATTGTGCGTCTTTTATTAGAGATGCGACTTCTAATACAGATTTTACGGTAATTCGCCTTGAGGTAGAGGAAAACATAAGTGAGTGATTACAAACCAATTCTGTTATTAGGAAATTATTAAACCCGCAGAGACAGTACGTGATTGGTTTATCTCACTAAAATATAACAAGAGGCCTTTTTTTTTATTAATGAATACTGTATGTAGAAACATAGTTGTATGGTTAAAATGGTGACCTGTTCCCTTGTATTGAAATGAAAGACTGAGAATACAACATGTACTTTGAAACAATGGCAGTGTTTTATTTACAGAAAATATTGAATATGAACAAAAAATGGTAACTGAAAACATTAATGCACATCTTGCAGATAAAACAGATTTAGAATTTTTCAGAATGAATTATATAATTTGTCACATGTCCTGGACATCCAAATTGCACATTTTGTCTTCAAGAAACTCACTGAAATTTGTTTACCCATGGATCATCTGGAAATCCTATGAAAGGTAAACAGAATATTTCAAAACTAAAATTAAAGTGGATGGGGATAGTTGGTTGCCAAGACGAACAAAGCAAACCAAACTTTCATTCAGAAAGACATTTGTTAAAACAGGAGGATGGCAATGCATTGGAAAGCGTACTGTGGAATGTCACACACTTATTTTTTTGTGTTTACAGATTTTTGCAATTATTGGTATTTAATTATTGGTAAAAATAAATGTAAATATAAACAATGTAATCTTTAACACAATTTATTTTGCTCCAAAGAGGGTGTTCTAGAACACCTGACAAAATTTAAGTTGAGTTTGTGTCCTTGGCATTGAACTCTCATAATTGTGATTGACCCTATTGCTAATTTTTGTAAATAATGAAAATATCATACGTGAATATTTATAATGCTTTGACTAATATAATATTTCTGTAAAGAACCATTTGAAACTAGAGGGAGTGTACATGCATGATATTTGTCCAAATTTTTGTTCTTACTTAATTTTTGAACTACTGTAGATTCAGTTCTTTGTGATATTGATCTTTTTTTTAAATTTTAAAACTTTTTTTCCTGGTAGTGAAAATAATTTTTTGTTCTTGTTACTAATTTTTCTTTTCTGATTCACCCCAAGAGATTCTAATAATCCACCCCTTGGAGAAAAAATTGTGACTGTAGTTTGGAAAGTAAGAAACTCATTTGAATATATTTGCACATAAACGGATATAATCGGTAAACATTGAGCATAAATTAAAACTAAATCTATATCTATTTTAGTGGATGCTACATGATGGAAGGGAAATAACTAAAAAAAAGACCATTGCTGGAAATTATAATGACTCTAAAGTATGTTTATAATAAAAAAAATATTGTATTATGTATACCATGAATAGATATATGAATAAATTACACTATAATACATAAATGCAGAAAGCAAATGGCCATTTATACACAAATACATGTCATAACAAATTCATCAGCTGCAGTATATCCATATCTATGGCCAGTACAATTTGGCACAGTTTTAGTAATTTTCATACATTATTTATCAGTAATTATCTGTTCTAATTTGCCATCTTTAATTACTTAAACAAATTTACCCCTCCCCCCTCCAATGCTGAAACAATTGAATTTGAGACATGAGTTTTATATTCTCAATGTATGCCAACAACAAAGCATGGTTTACAGTTCTACAGAACTGCGAGTTCTGCTCAAGATAGAAAAAAGGTTAGACTACCAGCGCTGGGCAGTTGTATTATAAAACAGGAAAAAGAGTGCCAACAAGCGAAATTATATTTGGCCATGTGAGGGCACAAATTTTATTGAAACAACTTTCCAATCAACCTGTGTTGTTGTTACATTTACCATTTGTATTACCCCCTGGGGGGTCAATCTTTGTCACCTTCTTTCCTTATTTGTATGATACTGTGAGCAAGGTGAACAATTTATATATAGTAAATGTATGCAAATTAGACTTAATATGAAAGTAAATACTGAGTTGTATAAACCAGTTATATTGTGAATGTGATGATGATTATCAGTGTAAAAATGGTATGTACTGTACACTGTGTGTGGAGAGTGACAGACATGATTTACCTATCAGATTGATAAGTATTTGTGACAGCCTAGGATAAAAAAAATAGCACAGTTGTGCATCCCAAATTTCTCTTATCTCTCTCTAAGACTTCGTCTGGCTTTATCAGAACACAGTTTCCCAAAGTTTCTTGTTATGTAGTCAAACAAAATGTTTTTACTTAACCAAGCAGTTTTCAAATTACAGCGAGATAAAGTCTCCCTAACTTTTCATTGACAATGATTTCACAACACAGGCAATTGAAATCTCCTTTGGTCAACAGCAATCTTGGTTTGAAAACAATACAATCCTTAATCTATTAATTTTCTTGGTTGCACAATAGAGCAGCATTAAGTCTCCTTAACTCCTCCATGTTTTTTTCCACAAATGAGTGGTTCAAGCTCCTCAACCGGAGACATATTATCACCTCACCCTGTAACATATATGGGGATATTGATAGCCTGTTTCATAGTAATCAATATTTCAACATTAGGAAATCTTTTAGAGTCACTGGCAGTGGTAAATTTTTCACAAACTTCAATCTTCGCTTTCCCATGCACTGTCGAATCTTGTAGCGACACAAGTGCTGTAACGATTGTGGATTATGCGCAATATTCTTGAGCCAATCATACTTTTCTTTCATAATGTTGTATTCAGCAATGCGTTCCTGGTCATGTACAATATTAAATATTGGCAATGCCTCTGGTACAGTTACAATGTCACTAGCACGTACTATTGCATTGAGTACAGTGTAATCATCATTCACACTAAATATCTCGTTTTGTAGCAAGGTTCGTTTTCCATTTGGCCTGAGCAGAATATCGTAATTTGCTCCATAGGCAATAAGAAAAGCGGCCACTTTGGATCGTCGGCGTGGTAACTGAGGATTCTGGACTAATTGCATTTGCTGCTCACCTGGTTGTTGTGCGTTATGGTTTATGAGTAAACCATGGCGATGAAGGAAAGACCTTGTGTTAGTTTCGTCTATTGCGTTGAATACCACTAACTGTAATGGTACAAGGCCTGCAAAAACAATATGTATGATATTAGAAAAAAAATAGAAGTGAGCTGCTCAATATTTTTTTTATATATGTGAAGAAAAAAATGTAATAATTTGTAAAACAAAAAAAAGAAAGAATGATGCCACTTGGTGGCGCACAACTATATTAAGCATGCCCACTACGCATGTTCACAGCATAGAATATTCTCAGTAGTATGTGCAGGTTTACTATTGACTGTTAAATTCTAAATACTAGAGAAAAAGAAAACAATTTACAAAAGATTAGAATTGTGCATTTTTTCATAAAACTATGGACCACAGACATAATTTTTGTTTGGCTTTATCAAAATTATACATTTGGTTTGTCATTGACTACCAAGTTTTGTAAAATCAAGCCATAGTTCTCAAGTCAATGTAAAGCTTTTAAGAAGATTGTGCCTGATTGGCAACCCTAACACTTCTAACAGTCAGACCAAGCTGTGAGCATTTTTTTTTTTTATTGACAGTTTTTTTTATTCTAACTTGTATATATGCTTTGACTCGACTGTAGATCTAGAAAAGGATAAGAGATAAGAAATAACTAACCATCATACATATTCCTGGACCTGTCCATTCTACTTTTGATATACTCTGTCACAGCACTGGATGTTGGGTAATCAAGGTCAACATTATGACCTTCTGACACTAACAACTCTACCATTCTGTGATCCTGGTCTGTTGACTGACATATTCCGTAGTGTAAGGGTGTGAGGCCACTGGTATCGTGATGGTTTACATCTGATCCATGCCTGAGAAGTTCTTTCACACCTCCAAACATCTTGTGTTGTACGCACTCATGTAATGGAGTGCTTTCTGTTTAATCAAAAATAAATAAACAATAAATGTTCACAAGGATTTATATGATATAGCCTTCAACTTTGATATCTACGGTGATATGCGATAATGATCCTGTTTCATGTGTGTGTATTTTAAATTTATTTCTAATCAACAGTATTACAGTGAACATCACCATGACAATCACGGTCCTTTGACGCATGTGTTTTCTCACAATTAATAATTTTAAAGCCACATAAAATCCACATTTTTAAAAATACACACAAAATTGCCAAACTGTGTGGAAAGTGTTCCCTCTATTACGGTGAATAAGAAATGTTGTGTTTTAAAGAGGAAGTCAAGCCAAACAACACAATGACCCCCCAAGAAAAAGCTCCACAAATGTAGGAAAATGCAATTTACAGTTTTTTTATATCACTTTTCATTCTCTAGATATTCAACATTTCATCAGTATTATGTTGTCAGCCATCTTGATTCTCAAGCAAAGAATCATGGGTAAAGTATGACATCAGAGAGTCCGTTGTAAGAAATTGAGAAAATGATTTCATCTATAACATGGGAATTACTGACGCGAATTAGTTCAAATTTTCGTTATGCACATAACTCCTGTATATGATTATAGTAATGTAAATTAGAATGTTACAAATACACATGAAGTGAAGATATTGCCAAAAACTATAAAAAAATATAAATCGTTATTTTCGTTATGAAATATAGAATGACACTTTTTGTCCACTTGTTATGATCAACAAGTAATATGACACCTATATAACCTACTCACATCGGTAAATTGTATACAATATAAGGAAATTTGAGCATTTGGTAGAAAAACATAAAAAAATAAATATTTTCAGTTCTGTTTCCATGACAACTATTTTATGAGCATGTTTGGCACCAATACATGTATGCTACCCTGTTCTAAACTTTCAGCCAATTTAAAGTTCAACTTTTGAAGTTATAGATGAAATCATTTTCTCAATTTCTGACAACAGACTCTATGATGTCATACTTTACCCACAATCCTTTGCTGAAGAATCAAGATGGCTGACTACATAAATTGTTGAAAAATTGAATATCTAGAGAATGAGAAGTGATATAAAAAAACTGTAAATTGCATGTTCTTACATTTGCAGAGCTCTTTCATCGAGGAGTATTATGTTGTTAGCCTTGACTTTCACTTTACTTTCAAAAATCACATTGAATCTGATACAAGTATAACCAATTTTAGAAATGGATAACAAAAATAGTTGACATTGAGTTATGCCCTAGCCTTTTATTTGATTACCTGACACATAAATTTTTTGGGAAGTCTTATGGCTATAAAAGATATTGTAATGACGACCATAATAACAGATCTCTCACTATTTTGCCACCTTTATTACCTTTATTATTAGAAACAAGAAAGAAGTGGTGACGTTACTAGATTCTAAGAGAACTCACCAGAATATTTGACAGGCAATGAAAGTATATCTTTGCCAATGGCATTCTGTAATTGAATCAACACTGCCTCTTCATGACCAGCGTGGCTAGCAATGTATAAGCTTGTCATTCCAAGCTCATCCTGTGCGTTATAGTCAGCTCCGTTATCAATCAATTCCTTTATACATGCACTGTTGTTGTACCTTGCTGCTAGGTGTAATGGTGTGGTGCCGCCTCTATGAGGTACAGCTGAGAAAAAATGAATATACACATGAATACATGTACAATGTACATTGCCATAAAACTAAAAGATGCTCCAATTGGTCAATCAATATAATATGTCCACATGTCACTCCAGTGGTTCCTACCCACATTTACATATTTTATCTTGTTGTACAGCCTCACATTCATCAAGCACAATGAGATTATAACAGTGAATCTCTATTCACAAAAATCAACCTAAATATCATTCTCAGTGAAACAAATATTTTATTTTAGCATAGCTGGCATTACTTTTCGCTGGAAAGACTTTTTGGGTGTTTTGTTTGAAATTTATTTTCACTAATTTTTGGACAGTTGAATGTAAAATATAGGAAAAAACGTATATTCGCTTGATTTTATTTTTACTGAATCATTCCTTCAGCAAAAATAGCGAAACTTAATTTCAAGCGAAAATAAAATATTTTACAGTATTGGATTTCTTTGCATGCATCTGGTATTGGCATGAAATATGCCATGCAAATGAAACGAAAGACAGCGGCAGTGCATAAGAATTCTGTCATTGCATTTTGCACTGTGTTGAAAATGCAGTCATTATTTATCCTAACAAGAACTTCAAACAAAATGTTAAAATTACATGAATATTTGGCTATTATTTATGTTGTTAATTTATCTATTACTTTGAAGAGAATGAGCAATAAACTATATATTATAAGAATGTGCTTATATGGTGAAATCTGGAAAGTTAAAATACCCCTTAACGTAATTAACCCTTTGACCACTACTTCCCCTTTACATCACAATTTCACAAAATAGTCCCATTTATAGTCTGCACTTTCCTTCAGAAGGTTGGGACAAAAATGGCAAAATTTTATAAAAAAAACAGAAAATTTGCTAAAATTTTGTCTGTTGGCTCCAAAATGAGGATACATTTCCAGAAATATTGAAGAATATAAGAAACAAGTCATGCATGGCACAGTCCCTGTTAGTTATCAAATTTAAGATATATTCTTTTGTTTATAGTAATATAGCCGGAACATAAACATGTCAGAAGTATGGATCCAGAAAATGATGCTTGATTATGATGATTTTCTAACATTAAAATGATTGACATCTTGTATCTGATCGTCGAATGAGTACTTGTCCATATTGAGAAATATTGCTCTGAAACAGCATTAATTAAAACATGCTACTTTCCTGTAATTCTTCAATCTGCACAATTTGCTTTGGTATTGTTTTAGATTAGCAGAACTAACATGTATACTTATTACCTTCCTGGTTACTGTACTGAGTATTCCTAGTTGAAATGACTGAATATTTTTGTATATTCTTAGAAAGTTTGGGCTTTTCTTAGTCCATGCTAACCCCTGTTTCCACCTTACGTTAATGCAATTGGGTCTATCTGATATGCAAACATGAGATTAGCTTAGATCTTAGCCCCTACGTCAACACTATTGTTATTTACAACTCTAATCCCTACATTTATTGTAAGCTGGATCATTATAATATTGGCATATTTTGATCCCAGATTTAGCTCTGTTAATTATATAAGCTACTAATAGAGCAAATGTGGTAAACCACAGGTTTAGCGCTAGACTTTCAGTCTTTTAACATTGGCTGGGGTGCAGGGAGGGGTCAGAGGGAACGGTCCTCCCTCAAAAAAAATGTTGGGGGTGTCGTCCCTCCAAATTCAAGCTAAAACCCTTTGTGTCACAAAAATTTGCCCCTCAAAATGCAGGAAATAGCATTTCAGAGGTTCTAGATTTCAAAATTCAAAATCCCCAGAACCACCTAGTAAGGTTGGTGGGCAGACCACCCCCCTCAAAGCAAAATGTTGTTCCGTCGCCTCTGTTTCACTAAGCTAGAACATATGACAACACAGACAATGCAGGTTAAAACAGAATGATGTCTCAATGCTTTGTACCTGTATAACATCCTGGTTTTGAATACTTAGTGGCAATACTGGGATTAGCTCCATTGTCCAATAATAACTTGATGCACTGCACATGGCCCTTTTCTGCAGCCCAGTGAGTGGCTGTCACATCAAAACGATCACATAGGCAGGGATCAGCTACAAAAAATATCACAACAAATGTCAAAAATACATCACAGATACAAGGATGGAAGCACAGAACAATTGATGGAGAGAAAACAAAAATCCGGTACCGGTAAATGTGAGCACTCCCCTCCCTGGTATCCTAAATGAACAGATGGCCTAATATAGACAAAGTTATTTTCTATCATTTCTAAGCAATATTTCCTGCTAGACTTATGCAACCAAATGTATAATTAGACTGTCAAGCCCTAAGTTCTGTGTACAATCTGTGATTGGAAGTTGCTCATTTTTATTTGAACCTTGTCAGCTGTCACTGTGCCATGAAGTTCCAAGTTCCCATGTACGCACTATAGATTCACCTGTAGCACAAAAACAGGTCCATGCACTAACCATAGACGAAGCTATCGATACAATATTCTACGTCAAGTAAACATCATATTTTCACGCCCAGTATGCCCATACCGATATGGTCTGACCACAGTCCCTGGGATAGAGGGACTGTGGTCTGTCACATACATATCAAACAAGGCGGCCATAAATCGACACGCATTTTGACAACACGTGTCTACAAGATCGGTATCAGGCTGTCCTCGACTGTCAAAACCAAGTCGACGGCACTAGACTACAGTAGCAGTAGCAGCGACACATAACTATTGCAATACAACAATAACAAACTCAATGACACATGTACAGCAATGTTGTTCATATAACACTCTCGTTCACGTGACTCTCGTTCTACTGACATTACCTCCTTTATTCAGCAACAATTTCAAAATGTCCGTGTATCCCAAACTGGCTGCGTACATCAGTGGACTCATATAGTTTTCCGAAGCGTAAAACAACGCCTTGATGTAACACGTAGCATCAACACTTGCACCCATTTCAAGTAATTTAGCAACTTCCTTGATATTCCCATTCTTAGTTTCCTCGACTAGTCCCTTGTCTAGCAAAACTTGCGGATTTTCTGGCGAAATTCTGTACCGGGAGTACCGACGATACGCCATCTTGGGGAAGCCCTCCGAGATGCATCATGGGTAACACTGGTGACGTCAGGGGAAACTCCTGGAATAACGTTATATCCTATACCTTAGACAAGCTCCATGGTTATATCAACTGTACGTTAATTTCATTCTCAGCCTTACTCCCCACTGATGTATACATCTTTTCAAATCTTGAGCGAATACATTATATCACCGAGGGGGGGGGGGGTCATTTATAATCTACGACTATATGATTTCCGGGTTAATTCGTGACGTTGCAATTTTTTTTTATAAACAAGGCATCTGTCACACGCAACGTAATATTACCGTAATTGGTATAGTACAGGTGTGATGGTTCAAATACCAAAAAATGGCAACAGTAACAGAAAGACTTCCCTGGCGGCGATGATAAAATACGAACACGGAGCCAACAGATGAGATTTCAACTGGTACTGGTATTATTATACTCTGCAAACATCAAGTACAATAACGCGGTAAAACTCCACTACTCCAATAACTAGATACTTAAACTCCAATACAATTCAACGAGATCTCCGATCTGAAATCAGTGCTGAACAAATTCCCTATATATACCCCCACTGTCTATAAATAGACCATTACAACAGCATACATAATGAGTCTGGAATTTACTACAAATTTCTAGAATGTTCCATTACCTTCTATTGCCTTCTACAGTGTTCTATTACCTATTCAACCAGTTTCTAAAAAAAAATCTAGAATATTCCACCCAGACACAGTACGGTTCTAGAACATTCTCAGTAACACGGAAGTGCTAAACAAGTCGTATGCGACAGCATCACTATGGATTTATTGCCCATACTTGCATTTTTCAAATTGATTTTGCGGAAAAATACTGTTGAGGGCGAAACACTGGCCCAAAAAGTAAAGAAAGCCAATTTGCATTGTTCATAAAATAGTTTACAATGGCACCAATTGCAATGTTCGAAAAGTTGCATTTTAAAGCAGGAAAGTTTGAAGTATCGCGTTGAAAGGCATAAAAATGACAAAATACCAAAAAGTTTGGAGATAGATCTTAAGAAGCTGCTTGATAAGTAAAGAGTTGGAAAGGTTCAGAAAGTCGTTTTGAAAGGCAGGAAAGTAGCCTGAAAAGTCGCAAAAGAAATCTACTAAGTTTGAAAATTCGCCATGAAAGGCAGGGACATTGCCCGAAAAACAAAACAAAAGATGTCTACAAAGTTCAAAAATATTTTTTAAGGTCAAAAAGTTACATGAATAGTCATTTGCAAAGTTAGATAAGCCACTTTGAAAGGCAAGAAAGAAAAGTGGTTTTGAAAGATGACAGAGTTGCCAGAATAGTAAAGAAAGTCATTTGCTAAGTAAAACAATTAGCTAAGAAAACTTGTAAATCAGACTGTGTTTTTCAAAGATCGAAAGGTTGCCTGAAATGTCACAAAAACCATTATTAAAGTTTTAAACTGCACAAATTCTGCGTTTTATGATGATATCATACGATTTCATGAACGAAAATGGCCAGCAGCCAGAAT